ATGACAGCAGAGTTAAGCTAGCATAAAACACACGGTACAAAATACTTAATTGTTTCGTGTTCTCTCAGAGAGTTACGCATTCATTTTCGTCAACGCTGTGACGTTAACATTTGATCACAGAAAAGCCAATTTGTGGCTTTGAGTGATTCCTTCTTTTTTCGATTTTCTTTAACTTTGCAGTCATTAAAAATTAATGAGTGCTTAAATTCGGAAAAAGGAATTAATTTCATCAAGCGTTACCTTACTGTTTTGTTCCCAACACACACACAAACATATATATATATATATATATATATATATATATATATATGTGTGATGATATTTTTTCTCAAGAGAAATACTGAAATAAAAAAAAAAATTCGTAGGAGGTTAGCTTTTAAAATTTTTATTCTAGAAATTGGATATAAAAGAAAACTCTTTTTCTTTCTAACCTTCCCCTCCCCCCTTTCTCTCTACTCTTATCTCTCTCCCCTTTTCACCCCCTCTCTTCCCCTTCTCTCTCTTTTCTCTATCCTTCATCATCCTCTTTCTCTACCTTCCTCTCTCTCCCTTTCATATTCGTCTCTCTCTGCATTCAACTTCCTTTCTCTCCATATCCATCTCTCCCTCGCTCTATCTTTTTCCTTCTCATATATATATATATATATATATATATATATATATATATATAATGTTTAACATCCGAAATAGTGTTCATAGATATAATCAATTAAAATAAGTATCAACACATGTTTGTGTCTGTGAGTCTGTGATTCTTGTATATATATATATATATATATATATATATATATATATATATATATATATATATATATATATATAGCTAGGCAGCTAATTCCGATTTGGATTTACTTCTATGACCGCGCTAGTTTTCTCGGCGTGAACGATACAAGTAAAAAGCCCATATTTGTCATGGTGATTTTCATAATGGAAAAATACATTTCCTGAATATTGGTGCAACACAATCTTCTTATCGACTGTTCATTTGGTCTTGTAATGAGTTATTAAATTTCTATTTTCGTCCGTTTATTTTGTTTATCAATCTATCATATATTTCCAAAAAGGGAAATGTTTTTTTTTCTGACAGTTGCATCTACACTCACTCACTCACTCACTCACTCACTCACTCACTCACTCACTCACTCACTCACCCCCCCACACACACGCAGAATAATAGGCACTTTAAAGATTTACTGTCATTTAAATGTGCTCTCTTATTGATATTCACATGTACTCACGCACATGTATATTATACGTGAAAGTATAATAAAATGCTAATACGTTAATAACACTGAATCAATTCATTTCCTCGTTTTTGAAGAGAAACACCTGTAATACTGAGGGCAGCCATTTTCCTCCATTCGACCATATATATGCATGAATTCATCAAGGAAGCAGATATTCTTCCTATGACCAAGGAAAAGTAAGTAATGTTTAAGTGAATAAGCTACATTCGTCATTTAAACGTTACAAGACAGCCCTTATTTAACAAAGTGGACTTATCCCAATATAAAATATAATTACTTTAATTATCAATAATAAAACAAATAATTGGTTGTTCAATCTTAGCACCGAAGGGATACAAAGATCTTCATTAAACAATACTGCCAGTCAATGTGCCAATTGTCGAAATATAATGGTATGGACACTCTAAACAGTCAGAAAACGTTATGAAGTCATTATCTCGCGAAATTTACCATTCATATTGACAAACATATAAAAGTTAACAAACCAGGCATTGTAATTATATTATAAAACTACCAGATAGAATATATCTGTTAAAGAATATGACAAAATAAATACGTATGAGGATCATAAAATATAATAATTTTAAACTATCAGGTTGGTGCAGGAAGTGGTTTTTCTATTTCCGAAGAGGAAATTTTAGTTTGAAAGACGAGCAAAAAGACGGTTGTCCAAAAGAAAAAAAAAGAAAAATAAAAAGAAAAAAAAACAAACAAGCAAAGAAACAAACAAAAAAAAACTTTATTCCTGTTGTGTATGATACACCTAATTTACATAAGCGGACTACCGACCATATAAATATGGGTTGGTACCGGAAGACGGGGAAGATAGTAGAGATTAAGAAATTGAATCCAGAGACTCTGCCCGACTGCGATTTAGTCAACCCATTATGCAGGAACGGTCTTCCCAAGAATATACCAAACTAACTGTAAATATTGTGTACCTATTCTTTGTTTCAATACATTTTGTTAACGTACATTTTGTGTTGTATTATTCCATGCTTATTTAAGCTTCAACAATTCCGAATAGTTGGAAGCTGTTGTCACAGACAATCCCACCATTATCTCTAGGGAATTTGCAGAGGAATTTAACATACACCATATAACTGTGCTTCGACAATTAAAGAGTATCGGAAAGGTTTCAGTGTTTGGGAAATGGTTCAGATTGTTGCTTGAAACAGATTGTTGCTTGTTGTGAATCATTGCTTTCACGACACCTTCAGACTCCATTTTTAGGTAGTAGGCTTGTTACAGGCGATGAAAAGTGGATCCTTTACCATAACGTTAAACACCGCCGATCAGTCGAGGAGGAAGATCAGTTCAACAACCAAGAGAAGGATTTCATCGAAAGAAGATCATGTTGAATGTGTGGTGGGATATTGGAGGGATTTTCCATTACAAACTGTTAAACAACAATCAAACAATTACAGCTAATCTGTACTGTGATCAACTTCATCGTTTGAAAACTGCTTTGAACCAAAAGCGACCTTCCTTAGTGAACAGAAAGGGTGTCATCATCCATCATGATAATGCTCGTACTCACACAGCTCTGCTGACTAAAAATCTTTAGGATGAGCTTGGTTGAGAAATATTGCTTCATCCACCATATTCTCCTGACCTTGCTCATTTTGATTATCACTTGTTTTGGGGACTATAGAATGAGTTAGTTGGTCTTAGATTGACATCAAGAGAAGAGGTTGAAAATGAGTTGCATTCTTATTTTGCTTTAAAATACAAGGAATTTTACCGGCGTGGCATTTAGAAGCTTGTTGACAGATGGAATGATGTTCTAGAAATCAAAGGAGGTTATGTTAACAAATAAATATTTTCATAATCACGGGCTTTCTCATTTTTAATATAGACCTTGAAATCGGACATTATTATTGCTCCAACCTGATAGTTAATAGAAACCTGGATAGGATAAAAAACAAACAAACAAAAACAAACAAAAAAAACAACAAAAAAAACAAAAAAAAAAACGAGAACAATTATTAAAAATGAACCTGTGGAACTACTTATCTATTCAGGAGTGTATATAAACGCTGTACATGTTAAAATAACATTTAACAACGAGAATTTCTACAAAAGGAATACGCATATTTACTCTCTTGTTTTACTCCAGATATCTTGTAATGCCGCAGTCAATGATTGTACTAAGCAGAAAGCAAAAGAAGAAAATAATAATAAGAAGAAGAAGAATAAGTTAAGATAGGTTAGAGTTAGTATACCGTTCAATACCAGAGATTTGTGTGACCCTATTCTCCCCGATTGGATGCTATATGCATTTCTGTTAATGAGCAGGAGTAGTTGGGGAGAGCCATGATTGGGTCTCCAGATAATTATGTATCAGCCGTTCCCTAATGAATTTTAATTTAACTACTAAATTTTGAGTTGTCTCATTAAAAGCGGGGAAAAACTAAATTAATCTTTTTACTGGCAATTATTTCTTAAACATTAGGGAGAGTAAAAGGTTAAGAAAATGAATTAAAAACCAGTATACACGTACATATGTCTAGAGGAACTGTCGAGTTAGTCAAATTTCTCAGCGTTTAGTAAGTTGGCGCTAATTAAGAAGTGGAATTATCTTTAAGGTTTAATTCCAATTAAGGTTTATACTCTCCCATACCTCTCCCATGGGTAGGTGGGAGTACATAAAAAATTGAGAGAATTTCTACATTTGCTTGTTCTCATAGAGACTGATCGGCAAACAAATTTTCAAATGTTCCATCAGTTTCTTTGCATATTTGAAAATCTAAAATACAAATGTAGAATTCTTTTTCTTAAGAGATTTCACTCAATTCTAAATTGACCACTTAGACAGATTTGCATCCAGATACGTGTATGAGAGTAAGTATTACTTATTTGAATGATGAGGTAGACATTATGAATTGGTAGTCAAATTTAGATACTTGTGAACACTCTAAATCGGTGTCTGCGCAGATTAGATTGCTACCTGCTACCTGAAAAGTTATGAGCGGTTTTTAATTAAAACCTTTCACCGTAATGCGCACATTTACATTTTACATGTACCTTGTATACACTAATCAAAAGGATATAGTGAACTCACATATTTGTACATCAGCTTCACTTCGTTGGTGCACTGCATGTGCTGATAATTTCTCAGGAAGATGAAAGTGAAAATCGTGCCCATCATAGCTGAAGCAGTTAAGTACACCGAAAAAAAGAAATGTTAGACTGTTGACTGAAATTTGATGCTCTAAAAGGAACAAGAATATTTAAGTGAGTATAGAAAGTGAAAGAGACTTGCTGTCACATTATCCCTAGAAAAGGTCACCAGATATTTCTATAGTAACTGCATAATATGAAGTCAAAGTGAAAATGCTGACGAGAGTGATGTGAGGAGACGTGGGTTTTATATACAATTTTAGAGGATCTTTCGTTCTGTGGATTGTGAACTTTGCATCGTGGCTTGTCATTCGCACTGCTGCCAATACTATTGACGTGCATTGCCCGCTGCTTACCTCTGCTCATATCAACTGGTCTCTGTAACATGGTTTGAATACTGCCGGAGGACGCATATTTTTCTGACAAGGCTTTTTGAATATTCAGGCAGGTAGATGTAGTTGGATAAAAATACTGTTTAATTCGAACATAAGTATCCATAAAAAATAATTTTTTTAGACAAAATAAATTAACAATGACATAAACACACACACACAAACACACACACACGCGCGCGCCCGCGCCCGCGCGTGCACACACACACACACATATATATGCACAAGATGTACTCAGATATGCCTGTGTAAATTATCTATCTATCTATCTATCTATCTATCTATCTATCTATCTATCTATCTATCTATCTATCTATCGTGCTTACGCTTCGTGTTTCCGTCCTGTTGAACCTAACCAGATATCATTTTTTCTTCAAATGACATACATTCTAATGATTATGGCAATCATGAAATTAGTTTGTATGTCAGTATTGCAAATATTTCGTTCCCTCTACTTTCTTTCTTTGGTGAATTTTAATACCTTGGAGGCTTAAAAAATCTCCTGAGTATTCTCTCTCTCTCTCTCTCTATCTTTCTCTCTCTCTCTCTCTATATATATAAATTTAATGAAAAACAGACCACTTTAAGGTACCATTACAATAATTTATTTCACCAAAATCCTTTTTAAAGGACTCCGGATCATCAGGTAACAATTCCAACAACAAAATGTCATTTCGTTGTTGGAATTGTTACCTGATGTCATTTCGTTGTTGGAATTGTTACCTGATAATCCGGAGTCCTTTAAAAAGGATTTTGGTGAAATAAATTATTACTTTCACCATATATATATATATATATATATATATATATATATATATATATATATATATATATATGCACTTTTCATTGAATACGACAGACAAGGTGCTTTGATTTAGTTTTTATACACATTCTCATGTGATCTAATAAGTAATAGATACATACACGTAACAAACTACTTCTTGTTAACAGTTAATATATTTCAACCTTGAATCTAAATCGAAGCACCTTGTCTGTCGTATTCAATGAAATGCATGAAAGAAGGATTGCTGCCTAAACACACGCGCGTTCGCACACACACTCTCTCTCTCTCACACACACATATATATATATATATATATATATATATATATATATATATATATATATATATATATATATATAGGAAGGTAGATATCAACTTTTTGCTTACTTATTTCTTATTTCTTTTTTTATTATTTTTCTTCACTTTACCACTGCTTTTTTGTGACAATCTTTCCTAAGTCCTATTCATCTAGTCAAATCTACCTTCCTCTCTAACAACTAATTTCCATCGACACCACCCACCTCTATGTGGCCAATAAACTCGATGACGCCAGTCAAGGTAGGTAAGCCAGTCAATCTTGTTCCAAAAGGTTTCTTAGTGCATTTGGCAAGCCTGATATTTAACAGAGAGAAAATGAATGAGTTGATCCGCAAAGAGGACCTAGTACTCATATAATTTAATGACGCTGTTGCTGAGGTTTTAGCTTCAAAGACGGAGTAGCCAAAGCATTTAGTAGTAAATTATGGACATTGCAGAGATAGGAAACCGTTATTTCTGCATTGAAATTGCAACACACACACACATGTCACTTTCGTAGTACTTTCCTTGGTAGCATATAATTTGCTTATTTAATCTTTACTATATCCTATTCTTATTGATTAAAGTAGGGACTCAACCATTATTCTTGGCTTCGAACAAAACGATGCATAAAACCCAATGTTTTCTGCTCCTATAATATGCCAACTTTGGACCGCACCATTTCCATTTGCTAAACGAACTTTTTGGGGGTCACTGAATTTTTGCAATACAGGCCATGATTAATTTCTATCAGCATTAATGCATTCAACTATATAAATGGTTGTCAATACCAATAAACATGTGGTATTATGAATCTAAAAAAGTACCCGTTTTTTTATAATGACTGATAAACAATTATTTCTGATCTCTTCATATTTGACGTTGTAAAAGTTTAATTGAAGATTTTTAAAAATAAAATAAATATGACATAGCGCTTTAAAATGGCATTCAAGTTTTACTCTTTTCTTTACATATGACATTCAGAATCAGAATCAATGTCATTATGTAAATAAGCACGTACAGATATCGCGACATTTCGGTCTATCTTAGTAAATCCATATATACTTACCTGAGTTTATTAATATATGATCTAAATTTATAATTCTCAGAGTATATTAATATCTATGTCTGTCTGTCTATCTATCTACTGTCTATTTATCTATCTATTTGTCTGTCGATCCAATCTGCATCTCTTTCGCTCTCTTTCACTGTATGCAGTCGTATTTGTATGTGTGTCAGTGTATATAAATCTCAGTACGTGTCTATCTATCTATCTATCTATCTATCTATCTATCTATCTATCTATCTATCGTGTATCTTAAGCATTCTCTCTCTCTCTCTCTCTTTCGCTGTATGCATTCGCGTTTGAATGTGGGTCAGTGTATATAACTTTGAATATGTGTGTGTGTGCGCGCATGCGCGCCCACGCACGCATGCGCGCCCACGCACGCATGTTGATATCAGTGTAGGGTGCTTATTTCTTTACTAAAATCTTTTATCTCTATCTATCTATCTACACGAGAGGGTATTGAAAAATATTGGACGGACCCATTACCTAAATTCTGACCAAATGTCGGCACTTTATTTTTATTTTTCTAACTATTCTTTTTGGTGGATGTAAAAAGAAAATGTGACATGGAATTGAAATGGTTAAAATGATGCTTGTTAGTTTTAAATCATTAATTTCTTATCCCAGGGCTCATATTTTCTCTGTACAGAATTACGCACAGGCGTAATCCGAGTATATTTGAACAAGCATCGTTATTGATATGAGTTAAATCTTCAATATTATCTATCTATCTGACTACTTGTAAGCTCAAACTGTTTGTGCGCACTTTCAAACGTTTGTTCTTTAATTGGAAAATATTTATGCATATGTGTGCGTACGCATATTTCTATATATAGATAAATTCCAATGTCTTCCTCGTTTTATTTCTCAGTCTCTTTCATCTTTTTCTGTTTTCCCTCTTTGTACTCAAATACACATAAAAACACACAGTTCTCGCTCGCTCTCTCACTCATGCACACACACACACACACACACACACACACACACATATATATATATATTTGTGTGTTTAGGCAGCAATCCTTCTTTCATGAACGTTTCATTGTGTATGACAGATAAGGTGATTTGATTTAGTTTTTTATACAATTTCTCATGTGATCGTATATATTTTTCTTTTCTCAGGATAAATTATATAAAAACTGTCCAATTGTACTTTCTTTCCGAACGCTTTCGGCTATACATTTAGCCATTCTCAATTTTGAAATATTAACTGTTAACAAGAAATAGATTGTATTTATATAATGTTTTCATTTTAAAAACACAGTCAAGATCTTGTATCCATGTTCATAGTCGATATTTTTTAGGTTTGTTTTTTTTATTTTTATTAGTAAGACTTCCATTAATTTAGTCTTTTTTTTACATGTAGACGACGCTATTATATTTGTGCTTTCAACAAATATGTTCCAAATAGGGTCCTGTAGGTCTCCATGAGTATTTAAATGAAACCTAACTGAGCTATGTCCAGAAAGCTGTAGTGTGAGCTTTTTTTGTCAAACATGTTGTAGTATGGCCTATATAATTGTTTACGAATAAAAACTATATCAAACCACCTTGTCTGTCGTATATATATATATATATATATATATATATATATATATATATATATATATATATGCGTGTGTGTAGACGGCGACGTACCAATTATTACGGGATAGCAATCTATAAAGGTAATGGTAGCAGACGCCATTGTATCTTGATGCCATAGTCATGCCCAGAACTTTATCTGTTGTGTGAGTCACTGGCTAGAAAGTTCATGAATCCTCAGGCAAGATGTGGGTGATAGATTTTGCTTGATGGATGCAACATTTTACTTCTAAAACACTGGCGATATTTGATTCTTATGAGTCCTGGAATACCTGCTAGAAGGCATAACCGCCAACTGTTGACAGCGACGAGCGTGACGAGAGATACCTGGCTAGAATTGTCTTCGGTAACTGACAAATGACGCTTGCTCAAATTATATCCACATTCAATACAGCAATTACAAGACATCGAGCACAGTCTCACATGCGCTCGTGACATAACTAATTGGATCTAGAAGGATTGTTAACCTGTGGAATCGTTCCATGAGATACGGTTCTACTTGCTTCAGGCTATTGGTAGGTACAGGTGTGGCGCGCCTACTCATCAACAAACACTGTGTATGTGGGGTATATTCACGTGGCATAGGTTTGGTCTGTTCGCTTGCCGAAACATATTCGAACGGAGACCGCTACATGGTAAAGCGTCCAAGAAACAAAGGATTTGAAAACAATAATTCATTTCTTTTTTTTTTCGGGAGAGAACCCTTTTAAATTGCAGTCGTTGAAAAGGGTAACTACATTTCTGACATCTGACATTTAAATAAATTTGTTGTTTCTGTTTATAATTCTGAAATGAAATATTGTAATTATTTACATTGTTCGAATTGTTGTTCTAATCTTTGTTGCCATATTCATGACGTTTCGGGCATTGTACTTCAAGAACACGTGGCCCAGTGGATAAAATCGTTGGGTGACGTAATCAAGTGAGTTGACTAGAGTTGCGAGTTCAATACCTGGCTGCAGCAGAGGCGAACAAAAAACTTGGAGAGTAGAGTTACTAAGGGTAATGACTGAAACTGAGTTATCTGGAAGAAGTATGGCACATGAAACTAGAAAAATCTACCTGGATGGATGAAATAAAGGTTTCGGTTCGAGATTCCAATCACCTGGAGAAGTTTGGAGCGTACAACAGCCGAAATGTCGTGAATATGTTAACAAAAATGAGGCAAACTGACCAATCTAAATAAATGTAAATAAATTTGTTGTTATATCATTTTTCTTGTTTCATTGTTTCTTTACTAATCAGCGACATACAGTTACGATTTCTCATGTTCGTCTTTTGACATTTTTATTATGCATCTTCTTCCCACGATTCGCGTCTCTGTGTTCACTTTCACTACTGCTTCCCGGACAAAATGTCTTCTTTCCTTCTTTTAGGTGAAACTTATTTTTCATTACACATTTTTTCGTCCGATTTTAAAACTGCTCTGGAACATTATTTTTCTCAAGACGCCGTATCCTATAGAATTAATTACAAATGATAAGCTACAGCACAAATTGCAATATATTTCTTAATCTCCTTCAAGCTAGACTTGCTTTAATTTCTTTTATTCCGCGTGTTAGTTTTCTTCCTTAATTTAAATACTTTGGTCCGCCTACTGGATCTTTGTTCACAAACATTGGCTGAGACCAACAATGACTTATACATAAAGATTAGCAGTTAAGTGTCTTCATAAAAAGTTATCATTCTATTTGCATTTTGAATCCAGAGCTTTTAATCTTATTTATGTGTAGATTTCATTCAGAACATAGAAAATCATGACTCTCCACAACGTCCTATCCTAAGCCACGTTTTTCCGGGTACTATCTCTCCCGGTCCTTATTTACACAAGCTCCTTTTGTAGGTTTCCCGACGTTTTACTCTTTCTTTTAATAAGTTCTTGAAATTTCACTTGCCTCTTTCTGATTCTAAATGAAATTGTCCTATTTTCTTTAAACTTCCCTCGTTGCTCACACGCTCCATCTATGGTATTTTCAAAACCTGCTGCAGAAACACATTTCTGTTGCTTCTTGTCTTCTCTTCATCTTTGAGGAAATTTTCCAGCATTCAATGGCTTATAGGGAGATTAATATTATACAGAAGTTCAGTACTTTTTCTTTGTTTCTAACGACATTTTCTTTTTTCTTAATACATTGATTAGCCTTTGGAAGTTATCGTTCTTTATTCCAATGAGCCTTCCCATTTCTGTATCATATTTTCTGTCGTGTCACGCCATAGATTAAATTTCTATATTTGCTTAATTCTGGTAATTATACTTCGTTATTGTCTCTTACTAACGACCATACATCCCTTTTTCTTACAACTGATAGTTTCTCCTTTTTTCTCACTTCGCTTTACTACCTCTGTATACATTATATTGTTAAAGTTGTCAACCAGTAATAAATCCTGATAAGATTCCTAGTTCTCTTAAGATCGACTCGTTCTACTAAAAACATGAAAGACCTCAACATAAATCGAACAATGACAAATTTTCGTAGGTTGACATTTTTTGTATTGAAGAATATTTCATAGGAAATATTGAAAAACGTAATGGTCTGTTATTTTATGTTTAGGTGATTTTATATATACGGCATTAACTTATTTTCTGTCATTTTTGCAGGTGACATAATTATTTCATCTTCCCCGAATTGAGTCAAGAATTGACCTTGGTGTCTTTTGTAGCTTTGCAGAATCAGTCAGTTATGTGCCATGCGAGATACACGCTAAGGCAACCCTGTATCTTTAGAATCATGACTGACGAGGCAATTTTTTTTGCCTCTTCAGTCATGTTTAGACCAGTTGCCATCCAAGGCTATAGAACCTGGTCTGTCACTGGTAATTTATTATTATCATATTATATGCTGCCTTACACCAGTTAGCTAAATACATGTAATTCTATTCGGTTATAAAAATATATGTGCTGATTAGTGACAACATGTTGCAACGAAGTGGTTTTAAGGAAAATTGGAGCTACAAGTTGATACTAGCAATCAGAAAAAAAGACAGGTGGAATTATGGGAGATATAATGAGGAAAGAGCGTCTAGAGAAACGAACACTTTTAGAAACTATTGAAAATAATAGAAGCAAGAGGAGACAGCAATTTACTTAAAGAATGTGCGTGAATAGATGTCAAAGAGAAATGATAAATGGTTATTTAAAAATACAAATTACAGGAAGTTGTGGAGAGCTATAATTGCTGACATCTAGAAAGGAGTTAACACATAAAATAAAATAAAATTTTTCACAGCACTGAGCCAAATCCGTTCGAATTTAGCTAATTATAAACCGTTCTTAACAATTTCAATATTACGAAATGAAAACAATAAAATAATAATGTCGAACAGAAAGAAACAGCAAAAGAAAAATGATATTTCTCAACATGAATATTTTTATTGAACTCTTGGAAAATAAACTGTAATTGGCTTTTTACATTTTAAGTTATGAATAGGTAACTGGATACATCAAACTTCGGTATGAGTAAAATGTATGACTGGCTTTGTGCTATGTTGTTAATTTTCAATAGCTCCCTGGGTAATATAAGTACTGTAAGAAAAGAGAATATTTTAATTCTGGATTAAATTGAATATTTTTTAAAGAGAATGTCCTTGTAATATTTTGCATGTAAAAATTTACAAACTGCGAAATCCAGGCATAAAATCATCCCAGTGCAGAAAAAAAATGAAACACAAAAAATATTGACTCACGTAGCTTTTTGCTACATTTAGTCGAATATATTTTGAGGTAAGAATTCATGTTGCCTTGTTCAACGAATTATCCTCTTTATTGTCTTCGTATTTGATATTTTGGCACCGGCATGTATTTTCTATTCATTTTCATATTGTTTAAAATTTTGACATAATCAACTGTCAATTTTCAAGGTATTATTCAGAGCAAAATATTAGTATTCGTCATATTCCACGCTTAATCATGTCTCAATTTTGCAATTCATCTAATTCACTGGAATTATTTGATAAAACTTTGACTGTGGCACATTTATAGTGATAGATCAAAATCGCACTGAGACATAAAATTCACAGTTACCGTTCAATGTTGAGTACCATGTACAAAGTGTGCATATCTATAAACGATATTTTAACGTTATTTTCTTCATCTCATATTTCCCATATATTTTCAATATGT